AATGATAACTATTTAATAACGACTTACTGATTACAATGAGTGTGATTTAGATGCTCGATTACCATCTGGACAACTAAGTATATTACTACCGCTCATATTACAAGTATGCTCATAAACTGAACAGTACGGAAATCTGTGCTTGGTTAATAGCTTTCTTTCAAATTACCAGTTAGTCAGTCATCTACAAAGCAGAACCAGACATATATGCATCGCTCCAAGATACCACACCTCACTAGCACAACAAGATGAACACCGAATTCATAGAAGTAGTCACTTTGTTGTAACGCGTGAGTGACTGCAGGGTTTGATACACAGCGTTTATTTATCGATTCAATGGACAGTGACACGTAACCACGTAAGGACGACCTAGTGCCCTGATTGGTCTCGCCTCCCTGTCCAGCCCCAGCCAGTTGAGTCAAGAACGCAAGTCACAGCCTCTGGGTTATGAATCATTATATTTCAAACATACTTTGTTTATATACTAGTCAAGCAGACCACAACGTACCACAAAGTAGAAAATAACATTGTACAATATTGGCCAACAGGAAAATAACACGTTAAATAAATATCGACCAATGGGACCAAGGACACCATTGGACTTAACATGATAATTATTGGTCTATTTTTCCGACTACCTAACACACTTCAATGATAGTAATGAATAAAAGAGAGATTATGTATAAATATATAGTACAGGAAGAAAGAATTAGATCGTAGAAAGAGAGATATATAGCAATTTTAATATTACGGTTTAATGGAAGACAAAGAGTGTATACACTCACCCAATTGTGATCGATTCTGAGCCATGTCATTCACAGTATCCAACCACTAGTTACAATAGTCACACAGACTAAAACAAAGTAGTCTGCATCTACCAACATGGTTCAAACTAGAAGTTTGTGACACCAAGAAATGATGACACGTTTCGGCTTGGCCACCCCTAACTTTCTTCCAACAGTCTCCAACACTTGTCAGCATTGCAACTCGTGGTAAACGGCGTTTAAAAATATGTCGGACGTGGCCCAACCAACTCAGTCGATGAAGATTCACCAACTCATCAATTGATTTACCATCATTCCCTAATACTCTGAGTCTAACCTCATTATTACTCACTATTACCCGATGATCCCAGCAGTGCTGGAAATCTTCCTGAAACATATGGAATCAAATACTAGTAACTTGCAAGTACCCTCTCTCTATCCCTACTGGCCACGTCTCGCAGCCACAAAATAAAACACAACCAACTGCTGCGTTGTATACTCGACCCTTAATTGATAGACGGATATCTCGCCTTCGCCATAGGTGACGTAAGTTGGCATAAGCCAAACGACCACTTCGAATCCGTGATCACATTTCGTCTGACACCAACCCATTAGGGCTGATCAGATTTCCGAGATAAGTAAAGTTGTCAGCGTGTTCGACTACTTCACTCCCTATTCACAGTTCAGGTGTTGACCCAGGTCAGCCCTGAAGCAAAAACTTGCATTTAGAGAGGGAGAAACGCATCCCAAACATCCTGACATTGTTGCTCAGTGTTATCAAAATACTCTGCATTTTATCAACGTCTTCACTAATCAGGACTATGCCATTTGTGTATTCTAAGTCAATAAGTGGCCCTCCTCGTAGGAGATCAATATCCCCAAAAATTAAGTCAACGAGAACGTTATTTCCAGTATTAAGTCTATGATGAAATTGAACAAAAATGGAGATAGTGGACTGCCTCGACGGACAACACTTGAGGTTGAAAAATCAGATGAAAACTTTCCATAAGCACTGACCCGACTGGTAGAGTTCGAGTAAATAGCCTTCACAAGGTTTATGTACTTCTGAGGAACACTTTTCAATGACAGACACTGACACAGAACCTCTCGGTCTACAGAGTCAAATGCTGCTTTTAAGTCAAGATAAACTTCCATTGTCGTACACCGATAAGCATGTCTGTGTTCTAAGATCTGGCGAATGGTGAATATGTGGTCGATGCAGCCACGACCAGGTTTGAAGTCAGCCTGATTTCCTCGTGTTTGCAGTTCACGAGTCTTAGTTAGGCGTCCGACAACAATTGAGGCTAGTATTTTACATGCTATATTAGTTGAACTAGTCCCTCCATGGTTATCACAGGATGATTTTGACTCCTTCTTATATATTGGGACAATCAGTGATTGCGACCAGTCAGATGGGATTACATCCAACTCCCAGATTTTAGCTAAAATATTAATCAACCTAATCGCTAAAATTGGACCACCTTACTTAAAGACCTCTTGAGCCAATCCATCTGCTCTTCCTCGTTTCAGATTAGCTACAGCTTTTTGAACTTCAATTAGAGTCAAGGGCCTATTTCAATGTTCCGTTCAGGATGTTTAAAAATGGTAGGTAGCTGTGAAATAGTTGGAGGCGATCCCAACTTCTCCTTAAAGCGTTTCCTCCATCGTTCTAAACCTCTGTACTGCGAGTAGATGAGAATGTTGTCTTTTTCAGAGATTGTCTTACACTTGACTTCTCAATTTCGGTTTCCTTTATTAGTCTGGAAAGCTGCCTGGTGTTACCTACAGTCGCTACCATTTCCATCTGTTTTGCTTTCGTTGCCCACCACTGCTCACGATCGTTCCATAGACTTTGGGCTAACCTAGATTTGATTTGTTTTCGCTTATCATCGTGTTCGGAGCCTGATGGGATAAGTTTACGAGAGTCTAGCAGTGCAACAGATGTAGCACAAATGCACTGGTTATTCGTGGTCCTTTGTTTCAAATCACTAGTAGATGTCACTGCTGTTTGTATATCTTGCTAAGCAACATCCGGGTCGACCTCGTTTTCGGAATTGCCTAAGTTGTTCCTGGAATATACTTTTGACTTTCTCGTCACTGAGTTTAACTCGAATGAGTCTTCTTAATGTGGCTTTACCGTGTCCAGTGAAGCACAAGCAAATACGTGCTTGTATTAGAACATGATCGGAGTCCAAGCATGTATTCCAGAACGAGCAGTAGTCTTCTTTCGAACCTCAACAACGATGACTGATGGCAATATGGTCTAGTTGAGTCCATCGTTGGTTTGGTGCAGGCGACCGCCATTTTAGACGATGTCCCTCCTTGTGCTTAAAACTAATGCTTGTTAAAAATAAACGATTGTCTGGGCACAGTTGCAGCAGACGATCACTGTTATCTGTTCTCTGAGCCGGAATACCAAAATGCCCACCTAAATGTCTTTCTGTTCTGTTTGAGCTACCTACTTGGGCATTAAATTCACCTGCTACAAGTATTATGTCCGAGTGTTTGGCTTCTTAAAGAACTCGAGAGATTTCTGTAAGTTATTTTTCACTCCATCCGGGCTTCAGTCAGTGGGAGCGTCGATAGAAATCACGAAAAGGTAACAACGTGTTCTTACGGAGTCGTTTGGTCAGACAGCATATAGTCGACTGTTAACGCGGATCCATTTTAATAGTGTTTGTTCTACCCTCGTACTCAGTGCTATGCCTACACCCACCAGTCCATGAGAACTAGCCATCGGGTCACCAGGTAAACGGAGGGTATATCTCGTCGGCTGCCCGTTTTGGTGAGGTGAGGTCAAGTGAATGACCACACTAGGATCCTTTATGCATGTTTCAGAGACACAGCAAACATCAATGGTACGAGATTCTGGGGTTTTAGTCAAGGAAGTCTGCTGGCCGATTTTACATAGGGTGCGTACGTTGAAGACTCGAATGTGTAGTTTCGAGCGCGGTGTCAATAGACTTGGGACAGTATTTCGCGCACTAGAATCGTTGGCCATAGTGACACTTGAGGAGCAAGTCGAAGCAGGAAGTTTAGAGTTGGTAGTCAAGGGAAGATGAATAACAGGAATTGAAGGAAAGTGAAATCAGTGGTCTTGAGTGCTGTTAGAGATATGAGGACGGTTTTCTACATCGTTGAAGGGTTCTTCTGGAAATACCTGAAAAGGTAATCGGGTTAGAGTTGGTCTTAGTGGCCTGAGAGCATGACCGCAGAGCTCAAGGTACAACCTCTTCAGGCCGGTCACACACGACCTTCTTGTGGGTAATTTTTGCGTTAGCTCAGTACTTGTTGAGACCTTACCGCCGAAGACGGATATCTGTAGGATAAAACGTGATATGTATTTTTAGGATCGACCTTTAGTAACCCTACCCTTACTTTGTAGGAATACAGCATCGCTATCATGCTGGTTGTCTAAAGGAAACACCTCACTGCCGTCACACCTCTGTACAGTCAGTAGTACGACTTCGCCATCGGACCTTGGCTTTGTTGCTTCTAGTCTTACAGCTATTTAACCCACCTGTCTGGCACCGTAGGACCTTGAGGAACTATTTTTCCAACTAGTATAGCTCGACTGGCTCACCACGATGGGAAAGCCCGACTATCATGTCAAGGTAGAAGCAACGGTCGGGTCTAAATTACCAATTGACTGTCTGATTTTCGGTACATGGGATGAAGTTATAATCCATAACTGAATGACTGAAATCAGGCCTTTTAAACCAATAAAACGCGGTTCCGACTTTAAAATTAACAAACGAGGTAATCCGATTTATGTAGGTAGAAGATACGTTTTTCCGGGAATACGATAAAGCGGAAATTCTAACTACTGTTGATTGGGATATCACAAATACATGATTATTTTACGACTAACATTTTACATGATGTCCAATTTATTTGAAAAAATAAAGAATATTACTTGAAAAGGAAAGAATTCGATGGATAAAAAGCATAAGATAATGTAAATGTATCTGCGCCATTGCGACCAATCCTGAGCCATGTCACACAACATCAACTATTCGTTACAATAATCGAACACACCGAAACCAAGTAGTGTAAATGCTAGAGTGAATGAAGACATCTTTCGTCATGAAGTAACGCAATTGTTAATGTATTTGTAGAAAAAATACAAATATAAGTACTAAAATTAATATTTACGAATAATAAATTGTTTTGGCAACATATAATCAATAGGAAACAGAGAAAATAACAGGATGAACCCGAACACCATACAGGACAATGTTATAATCGGATGCAAGCTAAGATAGCAGAAACAACTAAAGATGATCCTAAAGCAATAAATCCAGTCGTATTACATGTTTTGATAGGAAAGCCAATAGCGTAGTCCCAAGCCTAGTAAAATAAATAAATTATACAATCACACATTTTCCATAAAATAAAAAGCTAGTAGTGAAACTCAATAAACGTCTCTGAAAATGAGCCATGAATAAAGTGGAATTTTTTAGTTCCTTTCCACCAAACAAGTTACTTATTTCATAAAGAGGTCATTTTTAAATTGAGTGGCAACCAATGCAACACTGTTGAGCATTCGACTAATACGCCAGAGGTATTGGTATCAGTGTAGTTACGCCATATAATGAAGCTGTACTGTTTAGGCTAAAAGCCTTGATGGCACCTCCAATTATCCTGCCTTTCTACAGTGAAAGTCAGAAGAGTCTTACCTTAAATGAGGCCCAACTTGCCTCGCCTAACATATTTCAGGTGGACTGTTAGTTAAGGCATTTGACTGAGTTCTAGATACGAGCCCCACACTTAAAGTTAGGGTGACCCACATCCAAATACTTAGCGAATGAGCTAATTAATTTACTATACAAATTTCAAAACCTGAAATTAAGGTATACAGAGTAGTTTTTACAACAACAAAAAACGTGTATGGTCAGTTTTAAGCAGAAATCTCTTGAGCCATTGATTGACGCTCCATTATTTAAGCCTCCCAAAAACAAATTTCTTTACAGTGTAAGTAACCTGGAAGTGTCAGTCATTTGCACAACTCTAGCAGCACTAAACATAATACTATCCACAGTAAAAATCCTATCCTTAAAGTATTTTTCTATTCCTATTATCAGCCTTCCTCAGATTTCATCTTCACTTTCACATGTAACCAATGCTAGTGATGCAGTCTTGAGAAATGTTATTCCATATCTCATGAAACCGTTTCAAACTGTATCGAAGCTTTCATTGTATGGACACGAATCAAATAAGCCTTACTAACCAATACTTTAGGCCAACATACAGAATCGGACTATGATTTTTTTATGTGACATCATTAAGCTGTTGTACAAAATAGGTGCGAACCACCACTCGACATTTGACATTTTTACTACCCATTATTAGAGAGTCGACCAGAAGCGTTGTCAGGTGTGGATGGTTTTTCACATAATAGTATACATGTTTGACACTAACCACACTCTGGTGAGAGCAAATATTCGTCCTTGACCCAGGAAAATCGCAATAGGAGGGCTGATTCATTATTATGAAACTATCTCTGGTAAGCCCAAGGAAGAGCTACCTGAGCACTTAGTCAATCAGGGAAGGAATGTTCATCCTGAGACCACTATACAGGGAGACTGAGGTGTAACACAATATACAAAGCAGAAAAGAAGATATTTTAAAAATTCCAAATACAAAGCAGTAACTATGCCATCAGTATCCTAATAATAATGATTTGTTTTCCGCTCTCCAAATATCCATTTATAATTCGCAAATTACTGTATCATTGCTGTCACTATTTCTATATTGTTGAAGTATGCGACAAATTAAGACGATAAACAGTCACATGGTGCTTTACATTATTTGCATTTTTCTCGAATATAGGAACGTAATTCTGATTGGGAGCACGCTTAGGTTGCGTATATATATGAGATTTCATAAGAATGTCCCACTGAGTCCGTTTCATCAAGAGAACAGCTATAACAGATTAATATTCTGGGGAATAAGACATATAATAGTTTAAAAATATTCTTGTTGGCATCGAAGTAACAGATATGAAACCTTAAACTTTTATGGGCTCGTTTGGTTACAGCATACAAAAAGGAATAATTCACAATACAATGAATGCTTACCAAGTGTCTTATCCCGTTCAAATAGTGGTAAACCAACGGGTAACATAGAATAAACTTGCATGCGGTTATGACGGAAGTACCCAAATGCATGTTTTTTACATAATCAAGTATAGAGTCATAATGTCCAGTGAAAAAGAAAGCACCAATTCCTACAGATGACCACACTTTGAAAAAAATTATGGGATAGAAACAAGGAGATCTAGTCAAGAACAGAACTTCAACGAAAATGAAAGCAACACTACAAACAACATGATCAAGTACAAACAATACAGTTAGGGAAAAAGTTTAGTCAGTTACTTATCAACCCTAAAATCTGTGCAAAATGCTCACAAGCGCTAATACACTTTTTACGCTTAACCGTCATCTATACCTCTAACAATCAGATGAACGTATGATGAGCTTATCTCCTCCACCTGATCAGGCATTTAAAATAACAGAATCTAACTAATTAACCTTCAATACCACCGAAAACTACAAGCCAAACGACAATTATACCTTTCACATCAGATCGTTCAATGATCAAAACTCTCAAATTTCAAAGACAATCGGTACCTTCAATTTACGAGAGCGGTTTTATTCCAACAATATTTTGCATTCTATTATGCACATCATACGAAATCTTTTGATTTGAAAAACGCGAAGTTAGCATCTCCGACACGTATCACTAACGGCAGTCAATAGTAATTATTGTTACAAAAACATCACAAATCACTTTATATTTTTACCTTCTTATTGTTAACATACTAGTTTATAAAAAGACTTACCAATAGCCATAGCAATCCCCGTCGCCCGATGTAGAAAAGAGAATCTCATTACCAAAGGTGCCGAGTAAACCTGAAGGTGGGGAGACCAGGGCCGCCTTTCAGTAGCATTTCTGTCCCAAAACGACTGCATTTCCTTTTCAGCTTGCCTACGAACTTTTTCGCTCGCACTACCTTTAGCTGCTTTGGCTGTACGTACGATTGACGATGGTCGTAAAAGTCCTACTGAAACTTTGGATACTGGTCCAAAGACGTCACTGAAACCAGTAAGGTTTCGCAAACAACACAACCTAGATGAGAAACTGATGAAAGAGTTAATATTCAAAAGCAAAGAACCTCATCATTGAAACTAATTTCCACGATTTCTTTTTGGGCGGTTATATAAGACCTTGAAGGCTAATGTTCCAATATTCAAATGGTTCAAATGGTTGTGGACGGAATAGAAGAAGCTTTCGCTTAACAGGCTTCCGTGTCTAGTAGCAGGGATCACCAAATCCTCCAGGCAGGAGCCTAGGTATGTTAACAATAAAAGAGGATAAGAAATTGGTAAATCATAGTATGATGCTGTTATTGGTCCTTAAGAATAAGTCAAGTTGCCTCTTGAAGGACTCCTGGGAAGTCGCATGGACTAGCTCAGCCGGCAGCGAGTTCTAGCATTTGACAACTCTTAAGGAATAGAAGTTATGTCTACATTCCGTTTTGCCATGTTGTGTATCCAGTTTCTGGGTGTTACCTCTTAGGTTAGTGTTCGAACTAAGCTTAAGTAGGTGTTTAAGAGGATGTCCAGAAGTGTTAAGAATATTATAAGCCATTAATAAATCACCTCTAAGACGCCTATACTCTAATGGGTAAAGCTCTAGTGAATGGAGGCGTTCTTCGTAAGGTTTAGATTTGAGTCCTCGAACTGATTTCGTGATTTTGAATTCACTCCCAGATTTTTAGACTTACGTTTTAAGGACAGAACGCTAAGAGCACAAATCGTTTGTTTTCTACGTCTCTGTGACTTTCTCACCACCCCTCGGATGAGTTAATTGAAAATATGAACCCTAATTACACAGTATAGTGAGGTTATATTTCCTGAAGTCACATAGGAAAGTAGTCGGTTTGCACCTCACACGGGTTCATGTTTTATTAGGCATGAGTATGGCCAATGACTGTTCAATATAAATGGATACCACATTCAGGTTTACTTTATTTTGGCGGCCTGGAAGTCACGATCTACCGTGAGATCACGAGACAGAGCTTAAAGTCATAATGCGCCTACAGTGTCATACTTATTGTCATGTGGGTGTCCGATTTGCGTGTAAACACAATTTCGCCGTGAACAGGCATCATCTACAATGCGGACGAGGTAGGCGGAGCATAAAGGTCGAAATGTTGAATTCATCAGCAGCAACAGAGGCTTTATGATATACGGGAATTCGTTAACATTAAGTAAAAACAAGTAAATGACCGAGATCTGATGCTTGAGATATTCCACAGAGTACTCTTTCCAGGAAATCTATTTGCAGACTATCTCACTTTAGTCGAATGCCTACCTTAAGACCCTTGAACTGTCTAAGCACTGGACTAGAAACTTTCAGGAATCCTGCAACTCTAGTATGAGCCTATGACGTAACATTATATCAAATATTTGCGAAAACCAATACAGAAATATATCTAGTGTGCCATTACCAAACATTTTTGCCCATTTATTATTTTGATATCACGAAGTATGTTGCGTCAAAAAATCCTTTCCTGAAGCCGTGCCGTTCATGTTTATTCAAATTACTTGTGCTCGTGAGGGTCATAAGAACATTGTCACTCTGACAGTGATATTTTGAATATCGTGGTTAACAAAGCATTCATATATATTGCAAGTACTCTTGAAAGTTTAGAGGCAATTGTTAAATGTTAGTAATGGTTAGTAACTTTGAAACGTCGACTAGTGGAAGTCTACTGTGAGTAACTAAATAAAAAACGTTGTTCATGAAGCTAATTCTAAGTTAAAAGGATTCTTGAGAGAAAGTTTGTCGAATTATGGTCTACTATGATATTAGTACCTCTCTAATAATAGACCTAATCCTAAAATTGTAGAGTTGCCATGATATAACTGCCTAATCTATAAGATCTTACGTGGAAGACACACCATCGTCTACACCAACTCATTGCATTGTAACAATCACCAATACATGATGGAGAACAAGCTTAGGCTAGAGATAGAACAACGTATTTAATATGAATAAAAGATAAAGGTAACATTCAACAAGAACCACGCCTGCATGGCCGAGCCATGCCATACGATCAACTCCAATTAACTCAATTCCTTGTTCTCGCCATTTCGATCGTTGGGTTATTCTCCGCGTCAAATGTTTTTACTAGTATAGGGGTTGTGGAGATTATTAAGTTTTTGATTGATATCTTGAACCAACTGATGTTAGACCATCACAATTGAAAACCTGGAAGCACTGAACGGCCGTTTCGTCCTAGTACGGGACTCCTCAGCAGTGCGCATCCACGATGTCGCACCCTGCGGGATTCGAACCCAGGACCTACTGGCTTCGCGCCTGAGCACTTAACCATTAGACAAATGAGCTGGCATCCAGTGGTCTAATGGTAAAGTGCTCAGGCGCGAAGCCAGTAGGTCCTGGGTTCGAATCCCGCGGGGTGCGGCATCGTGGATGCGCACTGCTGAGGAGTCCCACAATAGGACGAAACGGCCGTCCAGTGCTTCCAGGTTTCCAACGGTGGTCTAACATCAATTAATTCATGATCTCAATCAAACGTTTTTTTCCGAGTAGTCTCGTGTTCAGCTTTGATGATTGTGTTGTTAGGGCTCGACGTCACTAAAAATTCTTCCTAGAATAAGGTTTGATGACTATCACTCAGTCCTGTTCGTTTTCTAGCATCTTAATCCCACTTCTCCCAATAGTTAAATTAGGACCTCATAAATAAGTTTTTCTTCCATAAATGATTTAAGAAAATATGAACCTCTGAAATCACTCTGAGTTTGAATAACTTAAGTTCATGGATAAACAACTGTGGTCTCTGATGTAAGTGCGCAGATAATAATTCTGAGCTAATTCTTTTCGTTGATGATAATGCTAATGAATGTCTAGCATATTTTGTCTTACCTGTGGATACCGCAACGAAAGCTTCACAAAATCAGCCTAATGACGGTTGAAAGTAACTGCTGTTATATTTTTATGTTGTTCAATAGTGTCGAAGACTATCTAGTGATTACAGCACTTAATAAATGGTCTGGAAGTTTAAACGCATGGTTCTCAAGCTGATAATCGTCATCTACCTGCACCAGACGCAAAAAATCATCCTTATCTTTGACAAACACACAATGCATAGTGCACTCGCTCTATGAATCTCTCTGAGAATAAGTTGAAGGCTATATGAACTGAAAAAATTACGATATCAAGAGTCTTGTTATCTGAAAACATAACTTTAGCCAATCACCATAGTTGATTCTGGCGATGTAGCTTCTTCATCATCAGTTGTACGCACAGTTGGTATACATACGTCTTAGCATGCTCCAAAGCATGAGCAAATAAGGTTATCAGACCGAAGTTAACCAAGAGCGTGGATTGAGTGGTAGTTATCAGTGCTAGTCCTTGGCAGATCTTCGCTCTGTATGGAACTTAACATTATATCCGTCGCATGAGGAATAAGGTTCATCATGTATTTCCTTGTTCAACGATTGCTATGTCGAAAAGCACCCATGGTAGTCATAGTGATCAACAAATAAACACATCCCTTCACGAATTGGATGTTCGGCATTGTCATTCAAAATATGGCCACACGGCAACAAATAGTTGTTGAAAAGTTCACATCGTATACGTAAAGTATCAACCACATGCATCATGTCGTTACAGAAGCAGCCAATGTGTTTTCTTAATATTACTTCATGTCTCCTTCTACTTGCCTTATGGATGACAGCTGAAGTCCTGGCTACTAATGATATAGCCCCGTTGTTCAAAAAGCTTGGAGTGAACTCACTCAAACCTGTTGATCTGATACGTCAAACTGATACATACCACCTCTGTAAACGCGTGACAGATAATTATTTGCACACGGCGAACGAAGCAAATCATGGATATATTTCTATTTTCTTGAAATACTTTTACGTTTTGGCTATACGAGCTGTACAATGCCGTTGACATGTTTTGTTCTGAAATCAGTTGATAAGAATGTATGTTTAACAACCTGAATGTAACTATGACCGCATTTCGGTAAAATGGTCATTGATAAGCTCTTAACGGAACTCTCAAGAGACCAGATGTTGAATCCTACGCGTTGGTGTATAATTCAGCAAAAACGGTCTTAAATGCAATCGATGTCGAGACACCAGCTATCGTTTTAAAGAATAGTTAGAATTGCATTCTCTTAAGCTAAGGTGGTTGTGAACAGTTTTTTTAGTGGGTATGACCTTTAGCTCACTATTTACTGCTAGACTCGAAATTCAGATTGACAATCGCAATCTTTAGACATAAAGTGTGAATTCGTTCGAAATGAAATAAACGGTGATGCTTTATGTTACATTCTTTGCCTAGGCTGTGATGTTGAGTTAAAAGGCATATAGGCCGGGGACGAATGCTGATCACTATCTCCTTCTGCATCCTGAAGGCAAGCTTCCGGTACCAATGTACTGCATATATGTGCATATGTACAAACATACCTGGCGAGTAAAACTTCAGAGTTTGGGCAATTTCGTCCCTTTTGCGTACCGATATGACATACTCAGTGTGCTCATACTGAGACAAAAGTAATAAGTCATAGAGGTCAGATTACCTTATGAACTGTCGGGCAGATGTCAGAACTATTCTTACCGGCGAATCGTCTCAATGGCGTGATATTATTGAAAACTCGACTTTTACCATTCATCATTACAACGGCATCATTTTGAAGGATGGAGGCTATCAGATATAATGGGGCTGAACTCCATGTAAATTTCACATTACCTTGATTTGACCACATCTGGAAAACTTACAAATTGTTTAGTTAGTGCATTGATCGTTTCATGTACGTTCGACCTTCGATTGCTCAGCAACCTCCGTCAATAGACAGTGTTATTGGATCGTTGCCTTACACGTCCGGAGCTTTACACTGTTAACTTCTTGTTCCGTTTATCGGATGGTCTCAAACTCGCGCTTGTGTTATTGTTGATTATAGCCAATTGATTTCGATGTTAAACACAGGTGCATTCCATGCGTTCATTGATTTGTTGCCTTGTAGTGGCATTGGGCCCTAACAACACAATCATCAAAGCTGAACACGAGACTACTGGGAAAAAACATTTGATTGATATCTTGAACCAAATGATGTTAGACCATCACAATTAAAAACCTGGAGGCAC